GCTATGAGTCAGAACTGACTTGATGGCACTTAACAAAAACAACAACCCAAGGGCACAATGCTGCTTAATGCTTATACTCATGAATCAGAAAACCGAAATTACATAAGGCACCAACACTCCATTTGAAGGCACTATAATATTATTTTTGACAGCACAGAAAAAAAACTTCTTTAACAAAGATGAAAAGGAAATAATATGAGAAGATACAGGGGAAGAAATACATGCAGAGCAGTGAATAAATTTGGAAGTGTAGACAGGTTTCACCCCCTCCATCTTTACTTACGGAGTCCTGGTGGGGCACTATAGGATAACCACTCAATTATAAGGTTGGTTTGAACCACAAGGTTAGAGGTTCAAACTCACCAGCCACTCCTTGGAAACCCTACACAGGGTTGCTATACAGAGTCGGACCTGACTCACTGGCACTTAACAACAACAGCAATCCTTATTTATACTGAAAGCTCAGGTCTCTGAAGAGTCAAGGGATTAAGATTATACTGTATAAAGGAAGATTTCTTCAGAATCTGAAGAGTATTTCTAATTCTGCCTTGAATATAAATAAATAAGTAGCATGCATATTTCTTATATTTATAAATATCATAAGGAAGAAGGAACTGCTACTAGAATTAAAGTTCTTTTCTTTTGAGGCTTCGATTCCAAACTCAGTTACCTTTTCATGGTGGTTCATAGCTCGGTCACCTGTGATGTCATATGAAGAGTCACTGACATGAAATTCACACCTTGTGAAAGTCAAATATACTTGTGAAATGATTTCACTGGCCAGTGGCCCAGGGAGTTTGAAGAGTAAGCAAGATGAACCACACAAACATCAGTCGTTTTCTCCTACCTTGGGTATTAGACAACATTCTAACCTTGGTTCATAAACCACATAAAATAAAAATCAAGACTGTGCTCCCATGGATTCTGAATAAGCCTTCCTCTACACACGGAATGACGTCATTCTGTGATACGTCATACTGCAGAAAACCATCCAGCATCTACCAGGGGCTTCTACGTGGACTGCGGTTCTGCAGACTTCATTCCTGGTTTGAAATGAACTGAAAGCTGCCCTGGTAAAGTCATTACCAATCATTTTTCATGTAAGTCTTTGTCGAGCAGCCTATCTGGGAGGACTATTTGTTCCCAAGTCCACTGATTTTCTTGTTTTCTAACCTAGTCACATGGCTTGCTGAACGCAAAAGCTCAGTGTGTCCAGTAGGTGGAGCCCAAAACATTTGTCCAGTCCTGTGAATGGTCTATTCAATACAGTCTAGATAGTTCTCATCAATAGAGCTTAGAGTTTACATTTTAAGGCTCATATATTGAAGTTGAACGTAAAACACAAATCTTTATAATTATTTGCTGTTTTAAATTCTGAATTCTAAAGTCTTTTCAAGACAATAGGCAGAAGCGCTTTATTGTCCTCAGGGTTCACTGGGTCAGTACTTAGACAGATGCGTACTGAAAGAACATTCTGGAGTGACCCAACATAAAACACCAGTGTATGTCTTAGCCATATGTTTATAACATAATCACTTAACATGTTTAATCAGTAGTAGAATTAAATGAGCTCTTGGAAAAATCTATTAGAATCTATACACCTTTATAAAATGCTCAATTAACTATCAGAGTGATGTATAAGATAAATGTATGGATTTCATAGCTCTGATTAAAGAGAAGCTTTATCTAACAAACTATGGGAGGGGTGTTTTCACTCACAATTGAGAATTATGCTTTCAAATATATATTCTTTTCTTTCTTGAATTTTATAGAACTCTTGTGGCCAAGTGAAATAAAAGATCTCAATTGCTAAGTAAATTTACCTCCAATTCTTCCCTATTACCAGTAATACTGGGCTGATGTTCTGTTACAGACTGAAGCAGCCATTGTTGTTGTTGTAAAGTGCCATGGAGTTGGTTCTGACTCATAGTAACCCTGTATACGGTTTCCAAGGAGCAGCTGGTGAGCTGGAACTGTTGACCCTACGGTTCAAACTGACCTTGCAGTCAGCGCATTAACCCATAGTGCCACACCAGGACTAGTTCTTAAAATCCTGAAAAAGGATTATTTGTTGTTGTTAAGTTCTGACCCATAGTGACCCTGTATAGGGTTTCCACGGAGTAACTGGCGAGCTTGAACCACCAACTTTATGGTTCAAATGACTTTTCGGTCCAGCGCATTAACCCACAGCACCACACCAGGACTCCAAAATAGGATTATTGTAATAGTCCTAGTCCACGCTTCTCTGTCCTTGCCCCTAAGTGCCCCCTATAGTTCTGGTTGCTGGGCTCCCGCCCTGCCCACTCCAGACCTCTCCAGGATCCAGCAAGGATTAAAACTTGGTACCAAAGGAGACACTCTGGATCTTACTCCAACTTTATGGCCTGTTGTGTGATTGATTCAGTAATCTATTGCTTGTTAAATATTTTACCCATAAACATAGTTTTCATCCAATTGATGGCAAAGGGACATACATTCGGCCCAAGTTTTTGTGGCATATAGTTTTCCTCTGCATTACAGTTCTTTTCCTACACACTAATCTCCTTTATGTTTGACATTAATTTCAAGCCCTGGAATGATGATTGCATTGGTTTTAGATAAGTGTGCATGTGTGTGTGTGTGTGTGTGTGTGCACTTGTATGGCTGTTATGCAGGGCTGAATTTATATCTCCTGTGTTCACTTCCATAGCAGGAGACGTCTACCACAAATGCATTTCAAACCCCAAACAACTGCAGTACCTCCAGCTTGTCAGTCCTGAGAAGTTTCTGAGTCGCAGTTGAGCCTGGGACAGTGACAGGTGAACTTCCAGGAACAATAACAGGTGTGGTGGGTAGGATTTCCGTTGGGACTAACCCAACTCCAGGGGTTACAGGTGCTAGATAAGGAGCAAAGCTAATCGCTGTATTTGCCCCTATAGCAGGACCTACAGGAAAGGTGGGCTGATAAAGAAGATAACAGAGGAAAAAAAGATTTATTTAGAATTCAAGTTTTAAAAATTATCACCAAGTGCCATTTGAGCAAAATTTATTCATCATATACAAGACTCTCTTTGTGTTAGTTGCATAAATCATTGCTGAACTGTAAACATTCATTAAACGTTCCTTTCCTGCTTTGCTTAATAAAAATGAAATCTGTGTAAATCCTCTCTCCCCAAAACTAAACAAAAAAATGGGAGCACATCATAGAAATCTAATTATAGGGAAAAGATCAAAATTTTATGTTTATGAAAGCATTCGCAAGAAGAGAAAATAATAATTTTCACTCTAATTACTCATCATTTCAAACTACTGAATGACTTTTCAGGTAGTGAAGCTTACAGAATATTAACTCAGAATCTCGGCTTCCCCCTATATGTCTTTCAAAGAGAGACAAGACGAACAAGCAACCGTGATTATAGCCTGATTTTCACGTTGACCAAGTTTATACAATCTCAAAAGTGGGGTTTACTTGGGATTTTGTTTTGTTCAGAGTTACAAGTACGTTCTGATATTCTGCCTCTCCAATGTATTTTCTCAAAACTCACTTGCAGTTTAATATATGCCCACTACTTTTGCTGTTTCCTCTAGCACAGCTATACTAAATTCACCTTTCCATTCTTGAAAGTTGGAAGAGTTTGAACTTTCTAATTGGCGAATGTTTCAATTGGTCATTGAAAGTCAGTTTGGTTTCTCAGGTCACAAAATCAACACAGCAGTGACAGCAGGTATGGAGATATATGTATGATGTGACACTTTAGGATAAGCACTGAACTGCTAATTTCAAGGATGGTGGTTCAAAACCACCAACCACTCCTGGGAAACGCTATACAGGGTTGTTATGAGTCAGAACAGAGACGGCACTTAACAACAACAATGTATCATCTAGATACGTATGCATATCATCCATCTATGTATTTACCTATCTATCTATCTTCTATCTATCTATCTATCTATCTATCTATCTACCTATCTATCTATCTATCTATCTATCTATCTATCTATCTATCTATCTATCATCTATCTATCTATCTATTTCCAGGGATAGAAAGAAATTTGCTAGTGTGTTGATTATTTTAAAAGCACCACCTAAAAATATGTAAATAGTTCTCTCTTTCAAAAAGTAATGTACATTTAAGTAATAACAGACTTTGTTTAACTTTAAAGAAACACTGTTGAAAATGTAAGATTCTAGATAGAGATTTTTCTTAGCATTAATTTTGCAATGAATTAGACATAGTTTTTGCGTGTTTGTTTAGCATTGGTTTAGTTATGGGGTGACTTTGAACCATTCTTACTGTCAGGATAAGTTTGCAGATGTTTGGAATCACATATTAATGCAATTTTCTAACACTGAGCTGTGCAGCTTCTCTGTCTATACATTATGGGTGTCATTGTTGTAATTTATAACATATAACAGAATCTCGGAGGTGGAAGTGATTTGCAGTAAGTTGCTAACTTAAAAGCTTGGTGGTTCAAACAACTCAGCAGAGCCATGAAGAAAGTTCTGGTGATCTGTTTCTATAAAGAGCGCTGTTGTTGCTGCTGTTCAGTGCCAGCAAACAGATTTTGACTCATACTGACTCCATGTGACAGCGTAAAATTGCACTACAGTGTATTCAAGATAGAGTCAGTGGGTGAGTTCGAACTGGCAACCTTTCATTAGCAAACCAGCACTCAACTGCTGCACCAGCAGGGTTTCTTCTGTTAAGACAACCCTGTGGTAGTGGTGGTGGTGGTCACTGTGTGCCGTGGAGTCGGTTCTGACTCATGGCAACCTTGCACAGGGTTTCCGAGGATGTAAGTCTTCATGGGAACAAAAAAGCTAATCTTTCTCCTGCAGAGCGGTTGGTAGTTTCAAACTGCTGAACTTCAGATTAGCAGTCCGACTAATAATCACCACACTACCAGAACTCAAGAACACTCTGTGGAGCAGTTCTATTACATGATAGAGTTGGGGGTCCAAACAATGACAACATTCAATGCTTTGAATGAGTTTTTAACATAAAAGAAAAATTAAAATTTGTTTATCCAGCACATTTTTCCTTTATAGAGATCGTCAGAAAGCTCTCTCTTACAAACAAGTCTTTCACAAAAGAGGGATTGGCTGATAGTTTGTATGGGGAGTATTTGGATGGGCTGAAAAGTCAATTGGCTGGAGGCAGGGTGGGCCATGAAGTTCAGGTCTCAAACACATCCACTGCCTCAGTGCATCCACAGGACTCTCAGAGCTGTGTGGCTCAGACACCAAATTCACTTCGGGAGAAAGTTGCAACACGAGCTCTCAATCTGGGAAACAGATGAACGCTAGGAGCTTTTCTTTTTTGACCTTCTACAAAATCTTATAGATGTGTCCATTTTCTACCTATTTGAATCATAATCCAGAAAGTTCTGGTTTTTAGTAACTTTCCTAGTTACTGTATCTGTAACCACTATTACATGGGGATGGCGGTCTGGTATCGCAGTGGGTTATAAATTGGGCTGCTCACTGCATGGTTACCAGTTCGAATCTCTCAGCTGCCCCATGGGAATAAGATGAGGCTTTCTACTCCTGTACTCCTTTCTACTCCTGTAAAGATGTGTAGCCTTGGAAAACCTATACAGGGCTTCTATGAGTCAGAACCGACTCAACAGCCCATAACTACCACCATTATTACCTGGGAAGTGTGGTGGTACCGTATAATAAGCACTGGACTACCAACCACAATGTCGGCAGTTTGAACCTACCAGCTACTGGCTTTCTGCTCCCACAAAGGTGTAGAACCTCAGAAAAACCCTTATACAGCATCGTCATGGGTCAGAACCAACTCAACGGCATATAACAATGTTACACATTTAGTACTATGATAAAACACCAACTAATTTAAATGGCATATATATATATATATAAACTCACTGACATCGAGTTCAACTCACAGTGAGCCTACAGAACAGAGGAGAGCTATTCCATAGGCTTGCCAATGCTATACATCTATATGGAAGCAGATTGCCTCAACTTCACCCCATCCAAAGTGGTTTGTGGATTCAAATCACCAACTGTTGGGTTGGCAGCCAAACACTTAAGTATGGCGCTATTAGGATTTTCTTCATACCGTACGTTGCTAGGTGTCTTCCAGTCAGTTTCAACTCATAGTGACGCCACGCACAGCAGACTGAAACACTGCTTGGTCCTGCATAATCCTCACAGCTGTTGATATGTCTGAGCCCATAGTTACTGCCACTGGGTCAATCTATCTCTTTGGTGGTCTTCCTCTTTTTTTCCTGACCCTCCACTTTTCGATGCTCTTCTCCAGGGACTGATCCTCCTGATACTATATCCAAAGCATGAGAGAAGAAGTCTCACCATCGTGGCTTCTAAGGAGCATTCTAGCTGCACTTCTTCCAACACAGATATGTTTGTTCTTCTGGGAGTCTATGGTACAGTCATTATTCTTCTCTAACACCATAATTCAAATTCATAATTCTTCCTTATTCATGGTCCAACTTTCACATGCATACGGGGCAATTGAAAATATGCTGGCTTGGATCTGGTGCACCTTAGTTCTCAAACTAGCATCTTTGCTCTTGAAAACTTTAAAGCCTTCTTTTTACAGTATATTTTCCTAATGCAATAGAATATGTTATTTAATTTCTTGACTGCTGCTTCCATGAGTGTTGATTGTGGATCCAAGTAAAATGAAATCATTGACAATTTTAATCTTTTCTCCATCTATCATGATGTTATTTGTTGGTCCAGTTGTGAGAATTTTTGTTTTCTTTACATTGAGGTGCAATCCATACTGAATCAATCTTCATCAGTAAGTAAGCAAGATTGTATCATCTACATATTTCAGGTTGTTAATGAGTCTTCCTCCAATTTAGATGCCACATTCTTCTTATTATAATGCGGTTTCTTGGATTATTTACTCAGCATATAGATCAAATGAGTACAGTGAAAGGATCCAACCCTTTCCTGATTTTGAACCATTCAGTATTCCCTTGTTCTGTTCGAACAACTGTCTCTTGGTCTATGTACAGGTCCCTCATGAGCAAAATGAACTGTTCTGAAATGATGTTCTTTGTAATGTTATCTATAGTTTGTTACGATCCACACAGTCGAATGCTTTTGCATAATTAACAAAAGACAAGTAAACATCTTTCTGGTGTTCTGTTTTTCGCCAAGATCTGCCTGATATCAGCAATGATTAAGAATCAAAGACAAAAACACAAACTCTGAAAGTCATAAGTCACAACAGATCAGTGATTCCATGGTGCAGCTGAATCAGTAATGTTCATCCTATTGGGTCACCAGGGCTCCTTGATAACTCTCAACAACTCAAAACCAAGCCTACGGCCATAGAGGTAATTCAGACTCATAGCGACCCTATGTAGGGTTCCCAAGACTGCCAGTCTTTAAGGGAGCGGACAGCCTTGTCTCTCTCCCGAGGACTGGCTGGTGGGTTTAGACCACTGATCTTGTAGTTAGCTGCTTATCCCACAGCACCGCCAATTCTCCTTAGGGTCACTCTGGTGAGACAATTACAACTTGTACTTTGGTGGTCCATGTTGTTGTTGTTAAGTGCCATTGAGTCAGTTCCAACTCATAGTGGCCCTCTCTTGGGTTTCCAAGGAGTGGCTTGTGAGCTAGAACTGCTGACCTTGCAGTTCAAACCACCCTTGCAGTCCAGTGCCTTAACCAACAGTGCCACACCAGGATTCCATGGGATGCCAGAATCTTAAAAACACATTTGAAAAATCTCTTTGGATATCAATAAATTCATTCCAATTAGCTGAATTTTGCTATCAAAAATATATTATATTTGGTCATCTAATTTAATGATCTAAATGCCGATGGGGAGTCCTGGTGTGGCGGGTCCAAAATGTAGGTTTGAACCACAAGGTCAGTGGTTCAAATTCATCAGTTGCTCCTTGGAAACTCTATACAGGGTCACTATGAGTCAGAACCAACTGGAAGGTACTTAAAC